AAGCAGTTCGGTGTTGGCACGACTCGAGACAATCAACTAATCCAACTGCATCAACTTCGATGTTGGTGACCCCAGGGACACGTCACTTAGCTCCAATCGAATATTGTGTTAAATGCACTTCGCTACTGTACAGCTACATTGTAACTTCATAATCATGATGTTTGTACTGCCAAGACGTCGACCGCCATGTAAATGAGGCACTGCATGCCGCGCACCTCGAGTGGCGCCATAACTTAATAATATTGTCGTTGTGCTAACAGGTCAAATATTGTTGTTGTCATAAGAGGTCCCAGTGGACGCGGAGGTGATGTCCTTAGTCTTGAACACCGACTTTGTGAACAATGCCGCAAAGTAGTGTGAGTGGACGGACCCATGTGAATGCATCCCCTGGAAGTAGTAACTTTTGAAGTGAGCACAATCATTTGGTGACATTTCACTTGCGTGATATTATATTCCGACACGAATAAGAAAGCGTTGAACACTCAGTCCTTTGGGCTCGCCATGCTGGCGTTCAGTACATTTGAACCCGAGGCCTAATACTATACTTCGAAGTAATACGTTACTACGATCAACTTCGAGTTCCTGGCAAGAGAAGCCAGGAACTTTAAGCAAGTTGCACGCGAGCACCCCCGAAGACTTCATGACTAGATGTTGGAGGAATGGTCGCTCGTGGTTGGCCTGTACTACAGCGCCAAGTTATCCTCGCTTGTCCACCTGCTCATGGCACCAAATGGAACCCCTCCTGTTCGGATAACCATGATTTCTTATGATTATCCGATTCCGTGATAGCTGCGCTTTTCACGGATTCCGCTATAAAGTTTCATGAGTTTCCGAGATTGTACTAACAGTAAATACTGAGGGTAATTGTTGCGGATACGGACACGGATTACTTTGCGAAATCTAATCACTCTACTGTATCTCGGTCAATACAGGACCAATTCCAGTCAATCTTTGACCGGAAAAGCACATGTGAAATCACTACACACAATATTGGAGCTCTACGTCTGGCTACAGCCCGTCGAAGGAAGATGTCGTCGCGGCGTGGAAGGCGGTCGGTATCATCCCCGTCTTCGCCAATGGCAGAAGAAGATCTCCATTACTTTTGGAAGATGGGAACGATTTCCTCTCCCTTCCACGCTGTGATGGCATCTTTCGGGCTGTGGGCAAGTTCGGTGACGGTATGACCATCATCGGAGTGATGGGGACAGGGTTGGCCATCGACGAGGACTTCCACGCATACATAATACAGCATGATGTGTGTGCATGGAGCCTTATACATGGGGCATTTGAGTTAACAACAGTTGAAATATTGAGGGACACAACAAAAGATATGCAAATGTGCTATCAATTTGGAATCGAGTGGTGAGGTATACTATACGTATAGTATGAGGAAGTCGAGGCTGCAGTGACCGCTCAGATCATTATGATCGCCTCATAGTATATGTGGCTGCAATTGTACATG